ATAAATATGTTACTTTTTGACTAATGTTTAATGTAATTATTTCAGTTCTTACAGTGATTTAAAACAGGTGTTGCGCTACTGACACTTTTGTTACTTCTTTTATGTTTAATATACTGTTTTTTTACATTTGTGTGTCAGTCTAAGCAACGTCTCTTTTGATCATTGTAAGTACTTTTTAAATCCCGAAAATATCCCTTCCTTTAATAAATGAATTTGAATAGCCCGCCTAATATTTTAGTTCGCGAAGAGGGTTTACTCCAACCGAAGATGGCGGTAGTGCATAAAGCGTTACACCCCAATACATGGCAGTGTCGACCCCCTGATGGAAACCAAGGACATTTTGAGGAATAAGCACGTTCACAAGATTTATGTACAATGAATTGGTCACGATATAGTCCAATATAGCTAGTCGAAATATACCCGTATACCACCTATGTACATTCGTTTACCCCTTCCACTGCAAGGCGAGGTCTATATATCCATGGTCTAAGCATGAAATCCTGAATCTGGCAACATTGCATCTAGATCCAGCCGCTTCAATTTCAATGGCGGCGTGACATATCTCTGTTGTCATATGTGGTACGTCCAAACTGGAGATTATAAATTTATTACGAAATCTAATACATTGTAAACATAAAATGATTTCTATGGGAGGTGGGGCGACGTTACGAAATCTCTTAGGGTCAAGATGTGATGGCAATATTCTTACTCTAGAAGTCACTGAAACAATTCTTAATGTTAAAGGTATGTTACTATTTGTTTGGATCCATTATCAGTAAGTTTACGTACAAGATTAACATATTGTGATTATTATTTGGTAATTATAGAAAATGACCAAATACCGAAAAGACAGAAGGAACTGGATCGAAAACATAACAATAGATGTTGGGTGGAAAAGACTCCGCCGTCTTTGAAACAAGGTAAAATATCAATAATTGAATCCTAGCGACGTAGTATCTTTTCTCTCTGTTTTGTAAACAAAAGAAAGTTGGTATTTTTAGTACATGGTAGGAAGTAAAGGTTACCCAGTGATTCATATATCTTGGGAGTATTAGGTACATTTATATAGTTTTCTTCTTTCTGAAACTTTAAAACTGCTTTTTTCATATCAACCTTGTTCAAATTGCATGAAAAGATGTATATTATTAATTGTTTGAGCCGATTACGATGAAAAACTGCCAAATATTTACTATTGATGGATTTAAGGAGGTTAATAGTTTTCGACTTATGGATATTTGAGCCGCTCAGTGCACACATTGATTAACTCCATAAAACAAAAAGTTGAGAAATGCGATGAAGTAATGTAGATTCTTTTTTAAAATTCTTAATATAATATAACTTCAAATATATAATGTAGAATACATAAATACAGTTATAGTTTTCATCTAACAGTATATAAAATTAATAAGAAAGAATAGCCAAAAAATAATCGTTTGCCTTTTATATCGACAAATGTTTTTGCAGGCATTAAATTTCTTCCCTTATTCTTGTAGGCCAAACCTTTTGTTTCGTTATGCTTTTGGAAATTTCGTGCCCATTTATCAGGATTACGATTTCTTTTCCTCCCAATCAATGTGTTTGTTGGGGAATTTGTACCGTTGCAATCGGATGAATCCGAGAAACACGATAAACGTCTTCTTGCACCAGACTTTCTGCTGATAAACCGTATTGAAGAACCATCACTGCTTTCCACATCCACATTGTTATTAGTTTCACTCATGATTATAACGGTATAATATTTAGTTCTTTAAAAACAATCAGGGAGTAATGTTGAAAAGACCAAAAAATATGTAGTCCGTGTAATATTGGTGAAGTATACGGTAACATTCAGTGAGAGAGATCACCGTTATACTAACTACCGTCTGCATTGCGCTTCTTTCTATCCGTTTGCTGATGCGATTTTATTACTCATATTGTTGAAAGGGGGAAAGCATCTTTGGCTGTTTCCAAAAAAAAGCGTAGATGTACGGCCGCAACAGGTAATCCAATAATACTATACTGCCAGGTATTCGTCTACGATTTACATTAGAGGATGGAGTTAATCAAAATGGCTTCTGAAATAAATTACTTATTATTCAATTGCCGTTTAATGGTGTTAATCTCTATTAATCAGGAAAGATATTATAAATATAAAAAGTTGTAACTAAACCAAGTGTTTTGACACCTAAATTTAAGATTTTTCAAAAAGTGGAGTTAGTCGATGTGTGCACTGAGCGGCTCATTTAATGGAAGGTTCCGGAAACCGTTTTATAGGATAAAAGTTGTTGAACGCTGCAATTCTGAATGTGCTCTGATTAATGCATAACCTCAAATATTCATGTGTCCAGATGACTGGAAAGTTGTAATTTAGAATATTTTCAATAAAATTGTTTCCATTTGCTTATGAAAATGTGATGCAATTATAAGCTGCTGCATAAAATTGTAAACTGAAATCTGTACCCACAATCTTTTCATTTTCGGCATGACTATCCATATGGATATATGTTTCAGTTGTTTTGATTTTATTTAATATATTTTCAGTTACGTCAAAATCGTAACAACATTCATATACCCTTTTCGAAACAGAATGTATGGCAAGAAGTGTGTTAAGCATTTTTAATTTCATTCAATTACGTAATTTTGTTTTTATCACATTCGTACTCTTAGGTGCATGTAACCTCTTAAAAGTGTCTGGAGGATTTCTATATAAACAATTTCCTTACGATAGGAGTGGACGGACAGTCAGAGACTCTGTTTTGTTTCAGTTTTCACTGTGTATCTGACAGACATTAGTTTTATATTAATACATTTTATTGAAATTTCAGGTGTAGACTTATACGATGAGATTGTCGAAGTTTCAACAAAGAAGATATACGGATCACCTGTATCGAGCAATAACGATGATAAAATGATGCAAGGCTTGGAAACGCGTTTTCAAAGTGTAATGAATACTACAGCTGATTCTCCAACGCTTAATGGTATTCATAATAACAATAACGTGCCTTATGACGAAGATACAAGGGACCAGCCGGTTGATTATAGTAAGAAATATACAGAAAGAAATGGGCCCCCGCAAAACAGTATCTTCGATTCATCCCAGAGAGAGCGACTGTCTAAAAAAGAATTCTCCGATCATAACTCTAAGGTAGATTTATTTGGTGATTATGCAGAAACTGATCTCGATCAACCAACGGATTACAGTTTACGGTATGCAGAAGATGATACCGATGAGGTAGAAAAAGAAAGTCCTAATTATTTTACTGGCAGCGAACAAGAAGATACTGTTAAAACATACTGCACGGAAGGTACTCCTTACGAAACTCCATTTAACTTTTCGACGGCAACATCTATGTCGGATTTAAGAGTCGAAGAGTCTAAGGATAACGATAATTCAAAGAAAAACCTCAGGAAAGCTGGTGAATTAAGGCAAAGAGATCCATTTTTGAAGCCGAGAGCAGTACAGTGCATCGATGAGCAGCCATTATTAACAAAAGAAGAGAAAAACAAAAAGAATCTCCTGACACCTGTGATGGGAATCGTAGCACCTGAAAAGCCTGTAAATTATTACGTAGAAGGTACCCCTGATTGTTTCTCGCGAGTTAGTTCATCGAGTTCTCTTAATAGTGCCACAGCTGCACAGGGAAATATTGTGACAGATATTGTTACCGATACTCCGTTAAATGGCAATATTGAGGTTACGACTTCTGAAAGATCTAACCAAAATATAACTATGTGTGAAAACATTGAAAGAATTTCTGCAGAGAATAACCGCTCCCAAGACATAAAGAACGATTCCCGCACCATGGATAAAGAAGGTAAAATATATAACCTATATTATGAAGTAGGGCTCGAACAGTATTGTGAAAAATATACGAAAATATAGAAGACTGGCCATCGGGTGGTTCTGTCGAAACTAATGGTGCCGAACCATTGTTTCCGCAATTACATAAGCAAGTTTAGTGTAACCTCGGAATATGTACAATCTTACTATAATTATGGTTAGAGCTACCAGATATACCTTTTATCTTATTGTACTTATTATAACCTCTTCGTATAGATAATATTACCATTTTATATGTTGATCGCTACTGCACCTTTTAAGTGCAACGCCATGGACACAGTACCTATTGGCAAGGATACGTTTATCATTCCTTGTGGTCAATTTCAGCAGTTGTGCGGTTTTATTTACCACAGTATTTTAACCATGTCCGTATACTGACATTACAGGGGTAACTGATTAATGCGTAAATAACAATGGCAAGTTTCTACAATTCTTTCCAATCTTCTCCTCACTTTCACATATGAAAAGTTTGAAATTTTATTTTCACTTAATTATTACTTTTTAAAATGCATGAGGTTTAATGAAATTTATATTTGGAATTCGGGAGAATACTAAACATATGAAATCAATCTGAAATGTTGGAATTCAACTACTTAATCTCTCGGGTATATAAAGTGGAATTGATTTAAATTAGAAGTTACAAACCTATATTCCAATAAATGGATCCAAGGCAAATGAATACACAAATTTTTTAAAGGAACCGGAAGGAATTAGACATCCCTATAATGTATTCCTCTTAACGGAATAGGAAACAATTTAATATCGATATTTTTTACCGGACTAGAAGGAATTAAACAAAGCAAAAGTATATTCCGCTTTTCGGAATTGAACAAAAATCAGGGTACACAAGGGGAATAGAACACAATTGATTCATAGAAAATATATTTCTGTTGCGGGAATTGTACGTGGAGAGAAAAATCAGGTATTCAATAGAATAGAAAAATCATCACTTTTACGTTGAAATCCTGAGACATTAAATCCTATTCTATTCAAGCCTTTTTACCGGGTACTCATGGACCCAGTAAATCAAGAAAGGCAATAAACTTGAGTCCGAACAAACGCAAAAGGTCTCTTATTGAGTTTTCTTTGAAGGCACGAGACACCTTCTGGTGACCATAGTTTTTTTACCAGCGATAAGTTGGTACTTCCATATGCAATAGAAATAAAGGCATAATTCTACGTTAAAACCGATTAATTTTTAATTTTGATTTAGGTAGTAAAGACCTTTAGACAATTCATGAATCTCTATTTTTGATATAGGTAAGGTGGTGACTTTTGGCGGGGAAGATCGTTATTCTGAGCAGACCCCACTGATGTTCTCCCGTTGCAGTTCTCTTGGTTCTTTAAGTGGCTTTGAACAACATTCCATCCATGATGACCGCAGTTCGGTCATTAGTGATTTTAGGTGAGCATTTACTTAACCCTTTTAGTGCCAGCCGAAAAAGAGGTGCTTATGCGACGATAATCGGCCGAATTTTACGATTTTACTAGGATTTGGAAAAGGGCTCATAACAAAACCAAACGAAAAGCAATATTTACATAATTCAAAAAGCAGGGTATTAAGGTGAAATGAAACACGTCGAGGAACTTGATCGACGTCGATAAAGAATATTTTTCTAAATGCCTATGTGGCCGACGTTGGTTTTTATATTGACAGCTGTGTCAAATTATATTGGGTATTGTACCAAATGGCATATTCCACCTGTCGTTTCCGTACAATAATTATAAAGAAATCGAAATAAAACTCCAGAAATCCTCGGGATTCGTGCTCTCTGGGGCTCTAATTGACTGCAGAGGGACCCCTTGCGCCATCTGTGATTTCCAGGTCAATTAAATTTTCACTCCGAGACCTCGTATTACCATCGTTTTAGCATAGAAGCGTATACAACACTTTTTTTGCCCTTATCCCGTTCAAATGCGAGTTTATCGATTACCAGAGTGTTCTAAATTGTCGTAAAATTGTCCTGACCCTTTCGATTGTCATATCAGAGCCTTCGATAATTGTATATCGATCGAAATATGAGAGGCCGACGCCATTTTGGATCTGGTCTGAGCTGAGTTAAAAAATTTTGTTAAAAAATCCAAATTTTCAATGTGTCAGGACAATTCTTAGATGATCAGGGGTGATGTGTCTAAGTTTCGGACAGTTTGGTCTAATACCCTTAAAAAAAAGTGTTGTATTCGAATCGACTGGTTTGAAGGGTGTTTCACTTCACCTTAATCATGGTTATTACGATAGGCCATAATACATAAGAATCGTGTTTTCGTTTCTAGTCGAAGAACTAGCGGCATTGTGTCACCGAGTGAACTTCCTGATTCACCAACTCAAACCGTTCCACCGAGTCCCCGTCATCATAAAACACATTCCGTTAATTTTACAGGCAGAACCCAAGATGAGGTTCCGAGGTTACCACATCGACATTTATGTAAGTATTATCATTTATCGATGTACAGTTTCAGGCTCGAATGAAACCTTCAGTTACGTTCCGCAGGTACCTTAAGGTTATGTGAAAGTGGCGTCGAAGAGGTTTTGTTTATAAAACTTTTCTCCCAACTCGGTTTACCGAATAGTTTGAAACTTTACAACGTGAGTAGGGAGACTATAAGGAAGGTCCCGAAACTCACTAAATTTCAATTCTTTTCAAATTTGTTTGTAGGTATTTTAAAAATAGTTTGTAAAAAATGAAATTTCGTGAGTTTCAGGACCTATCTTAGGATCTCCATATTCACGTTTTAAAGTATGAAACGATTTGAGACACGCAGTTCGTAGAAAAGTTTAATGTACTGTCGCCATAGGCCACCACAAGCATTCGATGCGATTCGGCAGCCGATTTCTTCAAATTGAAGCAGAAAAGCAGAGCTTCCCGTATATGCTCTTTTTCTGGAAAAAAACTAGACACGATTACCAAAGGAAAAATGTATGTTATTGTATGAAATTGCTGATGATGTGCTCTGAGTATTGTTGACAGATGTCAAACTCGTACAAAAGAAAAGTATGGCGTGTCCATAGTAACTTAATATGCTCACTAGCGCAATCTATGAGCAAACAGCGGATTTAAGCTTATACACCTGGTATATGGCCAATCTTAGTTCTTTTTTGGTTAAATATGTTAGTAGTTTTACCGTATATGCTCTTTTTCTGGCAATAAACTAGATAGGATTACCAAGGGAAAAATGTATGTTGTTGTATGAAATTGCTGATGATGTGCCCTGATTATTGTTGCCAGATGTACTCGTACAAAAGAAAAGTATGGCGTGTCCATAGTAACTTAATATGCTCACTAGCGCAATCTATGAGCAAACAGCGGGTTTAAGCTTATACACCCGGTATATGTGCTCATAATTATGAAAGTGGTCTAAGTCATATATTTTTTGCTTCGAAATTACATTGAATTAATTTCGTTTGAAATAATATGGCGTGAAATAACTGATAAGCTCATTTTTTTTTAATTTTGACTTAGACCACTTTCATAATTATGGGCACATATGGCCAATCTTAGTTCTTTTATGGCTAAATATTTTAGTAGTTTTACGGTTAGAAGTTTTAACAGTAAAGACATGATGGAAAGGCTGTACAATTAATGTTGCCTCATTAAAGATGTATTTGGCACAGTTCTTTAACACCAGAGGTGTTTTGGTGTATTATATGCCAATAGCATAGACTGAAGAAGGGAATAGTTTTTTCTTGACTCTGAACTTAATTGTTGTACTTAAGATGAAATCAACGAGTTAAGTGATGTACCTTTAATGCATATATTTTATTCTAGCTTCCAATAAACCAGCATTGAAACGTAGTGTCTTTGAAGATGACATTGCATCATTCAAGGAGGAATCTACTCCAATAGAGTTTTCTGCAGCTACTAGTCTCAGTTCATTGACTATAGACGATGAACACAAAGTAGCAAGCGATCCTAAAAACCTAGAAAATTTCCACCATGGAACAGAATGTCAAATAAAGGAAAGTGACGAGAGTCCAACGAATCCTCAAATCGGCCAAGCTGAAGCAGAAAAGGACCAAGATGAAGTTAGTGATGTTGACGAAGATGGCGAAGACATATTAGCGGCATGCATCAATATGGGAATGCAACATAATAGGTTGGTTTAGAAAGTATTATTAATGTAACGCTTCCAGCAAATTTATAACCCACTTACAAGGAAACATTCCCAAGTGTCCGCCCCCGATCTTATTGAGTTTCATATACGTTGAAGAACACAAAAATCTAAGAGGCACGTGTTTTTTTTATATCTGCAATGGTCCACATTTAAGGGGCGAAACAACCCCCTAAAGTTTGGTGATAATTCAATTTTTATAATAATTTTCGTAGAAGCAGTGGAG